AAAAATGAATAATACATTTATTGTCTTATGATTAAAACACGCTTCGACTCTGTTAAAAATAACAACTCGTAGAAAACCATAAAAACGTAATAGTAAATGTTGTTATGAGCGCGAATTGTTATCGTAGACACCTACTTACGAGTGGATGCGAATGAATACTGAGAAAATAACTATTGTGCTCATAATATTATACGTAGATAAAATATACATATTGAAATATGGCGTTGGCATGCACGGGTTAGGAGTTAGTTTATTGTCTCTGAAACATTAATATTATACTGTGCGAACGTTGGGCATTTTTATGAGAAAAACAAGTAGGAGGTACCTAATGCGACTCGACTTACACCGTCGATTACAGGACTAAAAAAAAAAAAACAGAAAATACAAAATACAATCTGGACAATAAACTGCTTCAGCGGTACTAGGCGCATATCGTGGAATATGACGTTTGTCTTTATTTATTGTTACAATGCGAGATGAAGAATGCGCGTCATATAAAAACGAAAGGTCAAGAGGGGAAGTCGATATCGCTCGAAAAGAATATTAATCTGAATAATCGATAGCATAGTTTAAATACCACATTAATAATATGAAACATTATATCATAAAAATATTACATAAACTCGTGATGTGCGTGTCTATACAAAAAAAAGCGATAATTTATAATTTAGGCGTAATTTGAAGCGGACACTGCGCTACATATGGACCATTATTATATAGAATTATGTAAATAATCATACCTGACTTGCACATCGCGTCCCTACTTTATACAATATTATGTATAGATGAATACCACTATGTGTTCAATTGTTTTATATGTCTGATAGACGCTGCTTATATTGTGCGGATTTACAGATGAGTAGAGCAGTTCAATTTTTAAACAATAAATATTAGCAAATGTTTACTTTTTACGTGATATATGATGTTATAGAGTTTAGACCAGCGATGGCCAATCGACGAGATCTTTAGAGGAATATTAGTAATTAATTATACCGATATATTATGTTGATCACGTACGTAATCTTAAGGTTTAAGGCTTTAACACACTTACGCTTTTTGTACAAAACTAAGTATTTATGACCCGTGGAGAAAAACGTACAATTTTACGAATTCCTATAGACAAATAATGAAAGGTGAATATTATTATACAGTTAAATATCATGTTCCGCGTAATTATATAAATAATATAATATGAATATACCTAACCAAATAGTAGTCTATCGCCTGATAATTAAAATTTGTAATGTGGCTCACTTGTTGGAAAAGGTTGACGACCCCTGCTACAGGCTATAATTATAGTGTACCCCATATTATTAACCGCGGTTATTAATTAGCAGTTGTGGGGTGGTGTCACAATTAAAGATAGTATCTATAGCCGTGGGTGGTGTAAATAAAATAAATATATATTATCTACCTTATGATTGCAACAATGATATTTTATATCCGCCATTCGGTACTTATTTATAACCGATAACCATTGACCAGCTATACCACAGGTTAGGTTAGGCAATTTTCGAATATGATAATCAATGTATATCTATAATAATAATATATATATAATATATCTATACAACAATATAAATTGCGCAATATAATAAACTACAGTGCTATGCTCAATAATATACATTGTGTTATAGTATACATAAATCCACACAATTTTTTACTAACATGTTTACACATTCATTTTTTTTTATATTATAATATATGAAGAAACAGTAGAATAAATTATGATATAATGATTTAGTAATGAATGGCCAAACTGCAGGGTACTGAAATTGTTATTGTAGTTCAAATTTCTATAATTTTCATTTATTTTGGTTTTTTTTTTATACATGCATTTTAGAGAAACTCCACCACAGGTCTGGCTAAACGGCATATTGGCGATTGTTGGTGATGGTGGGAGAAGGACCAGACATTTTTTTATTTTTGGGGGCCCATCATCATCGAAAGATAAAAGTGAAAATATGTTAATTTTTTAATTCATTGGGGTTTTATTGTTTGTTTTTATTGTTATAATATAAAGTACATTGTAATAGTTAATATTGAATTAAAAAAACAATAAGTATCAACTCAGTTATTATTAGCTTAAGATTGGTCTATGAAAATTAATTAAAATTATAGCCAGGAACTTGATATGCATATATGGAAACATTTTGTCATCAAGTTCTAAACCATATATATGATATTTGTCCCTGGGAAATTAAGACAATATTTTGTAATTTTTAAATTGTATATGGGTACATAATTGTAATAATTTAGTAAAGAAGTCCAAAAAAAATCGTTTTTTTTTCAGGGGGCTCTTAGATATTATTATGCCTGTTAAATCATGAGCCAGACGAATACTGTTTAATACTACTAAAATTAAATAGAAACAAATTTAATAACTGTTATAATATTCAACCTTAATGATTACAGTGAAGTTAAACATTATAAGGTTGCGATGACAACTATATCAATTTCAATAACCAAAAATAAAGCCATTTGAAAATTCTTTAATAAATAAGATTAATGTTAAATTAATTTAATTATTAATAAATAGTAGGCAGTATAGAACTTTTTTACTCAGGGGCATAGATTTAGAATAAGTAAAATTATTATTTTGTTCATAATAATTATACTTTTTGAGAATGAAGGCTATACTTACATTAGTTTAAAATACTAATAGAGCATCATATTATTATATTAGGTTAACTTTTCTTGGCAATAAATAAAACGACAATACATTATATAGTTCTATACGAATTATAACCTTTTTATTCGATTGGGCACAATAGGTTTTCAGCCTAACTTCACTATCCTGCGCAAGTCGCTTATCAGCCTGATTGCTGAAAACACACTAATCATAATCAGTATTATTCAGTAATCACTTAGGCATCTCCAAACTCGTCCAGACAGCGATAGTTACACGCGCCACGCCATCTGGAGAAGTTAACATGGCTACATTCATATAATCATATGTATATAATATATATATATAAAGTTCGGACGAGACTACTTGTATGTTAATCTGTCACAGTAGGAGCGTAATAAATTATGAATTTAAGTTTTACAAGCTTTTAGTTATCAAAATGAACCTCATATAGAGTTATATAGCTACCTACCAATGTTAATTTTATACACTGACCTGACGATTCTTAATAATTATTTGTCGTGAGACTAATATTAAAACTCTAGACTAGTATAGAGACATAATGTTGCTTAAAGCAATATTAATATAATAGCAAATAAGATATAACATGTTATATAAATTGTAACCAATACCTAAGTGTTCGACTAATTTAGTATCAAACGATATATGCCATGTGTGTAATAACTGTCAAGTATATATTGTCTACTATATGCTTAGAACATAATATTTAATAGCAAGGAAACTACTAGTTCGAATATTAATTTTGATATACAAAAATTATCTAAAAAAATATTCACTATAAATAATTTACAGTAAAAAATGGGGTTCTCATTAGAAAAACAAAAGTTTGCACTGCCACAGGATAAAACTTAAGGCCATGAGGTAGGTATAGACTATAGAGTTAGATAAGTAGTATTTTCTTGCGAGTAAAGTAGTAAACAGTGTTAGACGCAATTATACCTCAACAGCTTTATAACTATATAACTGTTTTATAACTGTAAATGTTTCTCTTCGTTATTAATTATAACAAATTAGTATTAATTATAGTATCTAACTATAAATATATACATTTATATTATACTAATATTTTACTATAATAACAATAGTTAAGAGTAGGTAAACCTAAAGAAACAAGGGGTACTTAAGACCATTTTGCACCACACTAGTTGGACTAGATGCATCCCGTAGTTAATTTTAACTCTCAACAACAATATTATTATTTGAAACAAACTCGTCGGTCTAGTCGGTGAAATTAATCACATTGCAAAAGGTACACGACAGCTGATAACCCTTGAGTGTTATAGCCGTATCGATTATAACTGCTTTTCTCGATTTCATCAACGTGTTTACCTTTTACGTGCTAGGAGCGCATCTATTTCAGCAGTTTGCTGCAAATGTTATGAAGTATACATATCTAGAATTGACTATTTTAATCAAACTCATGACTACTTATGTGTGGGTTCTAAAAAATGTATTTGAGTACCGACTTTTTTTGAAGATCCAACCTTTATTTTTTTTTCTCTCGAACGTAGGTACTTAAATACTTTGTACAATACCGTAGAACGACTGCAATAGCTGTTGTCACACCAAGACCTTTATTTCCCTTTGCAGGTCTGCACAATAATTAGAAATCAAGTGATGACTAAACTTCATATTATTTTCATAACAATTGCGCACTTGAACCTTATACAGGTGGAAAAGACCGCACTGAAATACATTACAAATGTATTTATTTATTCATATAATATTTTAATTGAATAACATTGATTTATATATTTTCTATACAAGTATGATAAATTAAAAATAAATCACTATAATATACACTAAAATAATAGTCCATAAAATATTATTATTATAACGTAAACTACTATATATTAACACTAATATCCGTCTGTACTCTAACAATAATTATATAATAATATTTTACTAGAAACATTTTAAATGTAAAGTAAAACATTTGTCACGTTTCGTCAGCTGAAATTATTTTTAAAAAAAATAATATATTTTCATATAATATTTATATATATATATATGTATAATAGTCGATTTGAATATTCAAGTATACCTATATAGTGGTGTTGTAAACATAACTCGTTTAAAAATATTTCTATTATCATTATTATACATAACTATAGGTACGGTATCTATATCAGTTCTGACAATTAATGTTTTAATAATATAATATATACATTTTTGATAAAAAAAAAATTTAAAAAAAACAAAAACAACGTAACCACTAATTTGACAACAACAACATAATAATATTTATTGTGTTATACACCTATATCATAATAACCGACACGGAAGATTCGTAATAAACAACAGGTACGAAAAAACGAAATAATTAGACATTAATATAATATTTTCTGTGTTTAAATTCGTCGTTTTGGTTCCAACAAATATATAATATAGAATAATAATCGTCAATGGGTGAATATTCGAGGGTCGTCGAAGCTCGTATAATATAAACACGAGGGTTGTGAGCATGGAAGTTTGGGGGAAGAGTGATTTAAAGTAAAAAAAAAAAAATACCAACAATAGGTTTACCTATATACGTCATTACAGTGTATAAACTTATTAGCATAATATATTTAGTCTAAAACGGGTTTGTTAATTGTTATTCGCATTCTACAGCCCATTGACATAAGTCGTCCGTGGAGTGAAACGACAATATTAATTATAATAGGTAATATAATAGTATTAAATATAAAATGCGACGTCGGGGGTTGGAAGAATCGGTATGAAGGTATAAGGATCGAAACAAAAATGGTTAGCGCCGTCGACATTAAAAATCGCACGTGTGTGACCATTGGGTATTTTAATTGATTGATTTGTGTGGTGTGTACAAATCTTAAAGTGATAATATTATTTACCAATAAATTTGGTATAATTATTATATTATAATACTTAAACGCACAAACGAGGAACTCATTTTAATATATTAATAATATGTGATAGCGATATGGTATGTACACGATCGTGTCGGTATATATAGGTAGTAACAGTGGAAATGGTATGCCCGAGGGTTTCCCAATCGAGGTGATTGTCACAAGTCTAAAACGGGTGGATGGGTGAGGGTTGGTGTATGATTAACGTTAAAAATACAAAAATATTAGAACAATGACGGTTTTTTGTCTGTAAAAAATTATATTTATGCAGGGAACGAGAATGCTGCAACATATTTTGAGTAGGTAGGGGTCCTTGGCGTTTTGTGTTGTTTTGCCTCGAGTTCGAAAATTGTTCAGCACGCCACTCGAGTAAACACATTATTTTCGTACGAATTCCTGTGGCAGGGGCGTACCTAAGGCGGGCACTTAAAATACGTCACAGCGGAAAAAAATACTGCGAAACGTGTGCTCACTGATCCGGAATGTTCTATATTTGGTCGACGAACGGCGATGATGATAATAAACGCGATTTACGAGATATTTTATACGCCGTGATGATGATTGACAGTCGACAAAATGCACACCGACGGTGATAAAAATATTTAAATAAAATAAACAGCTGCCCACGAGTTAGTGGACTTATGTCGATGTTGCTCTTTTTGAGCCAACATTGCCGACACAATATGAAGGCGTCCGTGCGAAAACAAGAAACTCCATTTTTGTTAAAAATGTGTTTTTGGCAGTTCTTAACTAAGAACAATTCGACCAGTATGCCTGTGCAAGAACTAGACAAATCTGACCACCCGTACAAGAAATATAATGTAAATGGAGTTGTCTCCTTTTTGCACAGACCTATTCATATGAAAGTTGGCTCGCCTCGGATATGTAACTTTTTCAAAACTACATAATATTATATACAGTAGATTCTTATTATGTCGAACGTCGCTATCTCAAACTACATTGAATTCTCCTTGAAACTACCATTACAATGATTAAAAAATACCATTAGATAGAACAATTTTACTTGAAAAAGCAAACGAATATGCATAACAACTAGGACGCACTAATTTTAAAGCTAGTAGTGGTTGGCTTAAAATTTGGAAAAAGAGAAATGATGTAGTTTTGCGAAAAGTTTGTGGAGAAAGTGCTTCAGTTAGACACACATTGTTGTTGTTCAAATTGGGTTCAAAATCTTCCTGACGATTGAACAGGGTATTTTCTTCTAATGATATTTTTAATATTTTTTCAAATGCTTACCATTCATACAATAATATTTTTAAATTAAAAAACGATACTTCGAATTTTTTCCTATTCCCCTTTAAGATTTCACATAACGAGAATCTACTAATATCGATCACGTAATCGTCAATATCGTAACGAAATGATGTACTTACGAACAATGGCTACACAAGTTTAAACGAAAATCAGTCCATTCGTGTAGTTGCTTGCCGCAATCGACCGACCTCCATCAAGTCGCGTTGTCTCTGCGGGCCATTGTATTCCGTGGTTAACTGGAAACCCTTAAACCCTTAAAGACCCAGGCTCGTGGGAAGAGTGTAGGGAGTCTAAATGTACTAGACCCGATGAAACGCAAAGTACTTATAATATTATAGAATTAAATGAATTAATAAATTATTGTAATTATATGATGATAAAAAAAAAATATTTTTTTATATACATGTATATCAGTGGTAAAATATTTAATTCACATTTTCGGTGTTGCAAACTTTCTTTTATTTCAATGGATATTCAATCCCCCTCGACGGCCTCAATTCTTCTTCTGATACAAAAATAAGCGTATTAAAGAATCATCGCATTAAAAAAAAAAATTTTTTCTTTAAATTATCGATGAATAAAAAGCCAAACCAAACCTATAATTATAGGGTTTTAATTGACATGCGGTAACGACCGTGACAATAATCATCTTAATATCACCTGAATATGGAAAATTAGACTTAGATAATCGAGTTCAGTGTTATTTACCTTATTTTTCATAAATACATACAACGGCGTAAGGACCCTTACAAACTTGAATATTTTTAGTGTTACTTTTGCAACACCCGAATTACGGCACTGGCTCATAAAACTTTTATAATACACTAACCATCTACTAGTCGGATATGCCAAAATATATGTAATTGTTGTATAATATCATACTTAAGTACCTACTATTATAGAATCGTGTATTTGTATATTATATTTTAAGTATATGGTATGTCAGTGTGTGTGTGTGTGTGTGTGTGTGTGTGTGTGTGTGTGGGTTTTGGTGTGTACAAGTGTGTGTAACTAAGTATTATTAAATAGTAGTATTATTCTAGAGAACAAGTGGAGACCGCAACAGTCAGTGGCGGTGATGGTTCTTCTTGAAGAACGGCGTCAGCAGCCACGTGGAGGCACCGAACAGCAGAATGACGCCCATGCCGTGGAACACGGGCTTGTACGAACCGATCGTCTCGAATATGTACCCGGCCACGGGTGGCCCGATTAGCTGCACCAGCCCGTTGCAGAACAGCGATATGCCGTATGACGAAGACAGCCGCTCCTCGCCGAGCATGTCAACCATTATGACGGCCGTGATGCCGACCACGACGCCGGAACCGAGGCCGAACGCTGCGCACGCGAAACACATGGTCGGGTAGTCGTCGGCGAACGGTAGCACGAACAGCGAGACGCCGGACAGGACGAGCCCGCCCAGGTAGTAGTACCGCTTGTCCAGCCGGATCCAGTCGGACAGCGTGCTTCCGCCCACCCTGCCGACAAGGTCGAGCACGGCCACCACGGACAGCAGGTACTGCGAGCTGCTCTTGTCGTGGCCGATGCTGATGGCGTACGACGGCAGCAGGATGGCCGAGTTCGTGTAACCGATGGCCGTGGTGGCGTTGGACACGAGTATGACGATGAACAACGGGTCGGACAGCAATTGCAGCGCGCCGGCCACGGTCTTGCGTCGGGTCGACGTCTGCTGCTCGTCGGTCCCGTCGCCATCACCGGTTTCCGTCTGATCGTGCTGCTTACCGGACCGCTGTTTGTCCTGCTTGTCTCGCCTCCGCCGCCGGCGTTGATCTTGCTGCTGCTTCTTCTTGGGCTGCGAGTCCTCGTACAGGCTGACCAACGTACTTCCGTGGAACGGCGTGCTGACGTACCGCAACGACGACAGCGATGACGACCCGGCCGCACCGCGGAATGCCGGTGCCTGCAGGTTACTGCAGTGCAGGTTGTGGTGCTGCAGATGCATGTGGTCGGCCGCGCCGCCGCTAGTGGTCCGCAACAGGCCGCAGCTGCTGAACGTCTGCAGCGACTTCGGTGAACAGGAAACGCCGCCCAACGGTCTACCTACCGACTTGCTGTTGACCTCCGCGATGATTGCCACGCCGCCGCCGGCCAGCAGATACCGGTCGTCCGCCGGCACCTTGACGCTGGACGCGTTCAGCTCGTTGACGATCACGTAACCGTTGAGGTTCTGCGCTAGCAGCGACACTGTCTCCTGGTGTCGCCCGTCCTCGTCGTCGTCGCCGCTGCACCGGTGCAGTTCTGTCAAACTCTTGCCGCCGGCCACCGAGTTTGCCGCGGCCACGGCCAGAGAAACCGACGACGTCACCACCGCATCCGCTTCGCCACCGCTGTCCAGTCCGTCGTCCACGCACTCGCACTCGTCCACGTACTGCTTGACCATGTGCTGCTCGACCGGATGGTACAGCATCGCGCCCACCCACACGTTGAGCGTAAGGGCTCCGAGTATCAGCACCACCTCCCTGCGCCACACACACACAAGCACACGCACACGCACACACACACAAACAGCACACATGTATTTACGGGGTGGTTTTTTTAATTATGTTATTATTATGTTTTATTTTTTTATGGGGGGGGGGGGAGGGGGTGCGACGCGACCCGAAAATTCAAACGATTTATATAAATATAATATTCAAGAGTTTTCGGACCGTTTCGGTATAGCGTATATATGCATAATATTCATATTAATATATTATATAATATAATGTAGTATACGACACGTGTTCTGAGGAGGGGGGGAATTTTGTTTGTTTTTGGTTTTGTACTTGTAACCGTAGTGTTCGATCAGGTAGCCCAGGAACGGCGGCAGGAACATGGAACCCAGACAGCTGCCCGATATGGCCACTCCGTTTGCGAACCCGCGGTACTTGACAAAGTACGATGTCACGATGAATATTCCTGGGGGGAACGCCAGACCCGCACCGCAGCCAAACATCATGCCATAACTGAAACACGCAATGGCCCGTGGTTGTTATGAACAAAACAGTTAAAAAATCAACAAACGTTATACGTTCAACGCGATAAGAAAAAAAATTACAATAAAGTAGGCATAAAATCAGTTTTAAAAGAATCAAAGTTTGTTCGAAAGAGTTTGCGCTGAGATTTTGAGAAAAATACACCTTGGGAGTAGGGACAAGACACTATTATAATTTTTATATTATGCGCTTCACTTTGATAGAATTGATGGGTTCGTTCGGAATATTTCCTGATTTGCTTTGCTCTGAAATGGATTTCTGAATTAAAAAATAAATAACAAACCTCAAAACTAGGAAAAAAAAGCTTCACCCGAGGGTGGTGGTGAATAAAATGATTGGTTGTTTGTTTAGAACATGCTAATATATATATATATATATTATATATCCGATTGAATTATCCACTAGATAACTATACATAGCTCAGTATTTCGTTGTCTCGTGGGATTCGAAACCCGAAAGAAATACTATCAAATACAATTTCTGCTGGCCGATGTGCGCTGAAAACTTTATTCCACGGTATAATAATTTCGTTTCACACTGCATATACTTTTGCCGTTTAATGTTTACAGATCAATATAAGTCAATTTAAACAGCGGCAATCAAAACGGACGAGAGATGGGATTTTCCTTCCAGGAAGTATCGCGTAAATATATAATGTGATTTATTACTGGTGTGCTTTTTATGGTACACAGCACGTACCTTCTGCTCATGCGGTATATATAGCTATAAATAAGAACAGCTTAATAATTTTGAATACAAAATCAGGTACTACTCCTAGATTTCGATACGAAATAATATATACAGCTAGTTTTAAAATAGATGTACAAACTGTAAGTAATAAACAGTCAGCCAAACCCAAAAATATACGGATTCGCTGCAGAAAAGGTAAGTTATAGTAAGTGCTCTCCAGTCGCCATCGCTCAATAACTTACTAGTTGACCTAATATCTGCTGGAAAAGAACGGTACACTGCTGTTAGTATTATTAGTACGCTCTACACTTTAACTACATTATAAATATTATACATAGATTCAGTTTTGTGTAATTTTAAGGTATAAGTTATAACACAAATTTATTTGATTATTTACATAGTTATATTTAAACGGGCTGGAAAGCCAAATAACAGTTAATTATTTAATATAGGTAACAAAATAATAATATAATATGAATTCAAACGTGGAAAAGGGAAAACATAATAATATATTAATGAATGAAAAATTAATTATAAAAAGACTTTAAAGAATGAAATATGAAAATTAAGTTAGTTGACTAGCTTGGACATTCGCTAATGTCATGGTTCTATTAATAGGTGCCTGACGTTAATAGAGCATAATATTAGTTTTTTGGAATGTTATATAAAAAGTTATTGCAGATCTAGTTCGAGGGACGTACGAATTAAAGCAGTTTAGTAATATTCTGGACAGTTTATTAGTTATAAGTTATAACTCATCGCCAAAAACAATATTCTTGTATTTCAATTGAGGGCAGACGGGCAGAATAATATTATTATCGACAAAAGTTTAAAATACTTAAATATTTGTTGATCTATGGTGTATACAATGCACATATAAAATAGAAGTATACAAAAAAAATACACCATTTCATCGTTTTAATATTTTTTTTTTGATTATATTTTTATGAACGACGTTGTATTAATCTCTTATACCGCGTGCAGCCAAGTTTTTATTTACTCAGGGTTTTTCTACAGAGTTTTTATTGCTTAATATGAAAATATGTGAAATGTAACACAAATCACAATATTATACTTGTTTTATTTTCCTTATTATACCATATTATTGAATCTACTTGTTTGTCATGATTGGATAAATCCCTTTAAAATTTGTTGACTAATTTATTTTGTATCTGCGCGGTAGAGTCTTGTACGATGGGTACGTAAAAGTCATGGACAGAATTGCTTACATAAATAGCAGTAATATTATCGTCAACAGTATCAACAGTGATATGTTAGTGTTACATTTAACGAAATCGTCCTACAGCATCTCGTCTTCAACAGATGATGTGTTATCTGAATTATTTTCTTTGTACGACTACGACGTCAAAACATTTCGAAAAATAAACGCATCACAAGTCGATATACTGCAGACATAACGCCGATCAGATTAGATTTCACATGTGTAGCGTTTAAATAATTTTAATAATAATAATGACTTGTGCACCGAATCTATACACACGATCAGACTATAAACTTTTCACGGTATCAGAACACAACGACTGTCTGGGCCTAACTATAAGTCTATTGAAATACAAAATACGTTATGAAATGATATACGTCACAACAAATAACCCATTATCGTATGCAATACAATATAGGTTTCGTCACTTATCTGTAAACCAATCAGCATAAACGAATGACGTACCTATAGTGTTTAATGCAACGATCTGTGCAATTGTAAAAAAACCTTATAATATTATGCGAAGTAATATAAATTTAAAAATAAATAGGTGCAATTGTAAAAAAGCTTTATGGTTTTCATAAATGCGAATCGAAAAATATAATTTTCGAATAATATAATATAATATGTATGCGTTTATCAAATTGTTTAGATTATAGATATATTATAGATTAATGCTGTTATAAGTTTCTAAAGAAATTTAGAACATTTAATATTATGTTGTATAAAATAATAATAATTGAGATGATGCATCTATAAAAAATAAATAGTAATGAGTAATGCCACAAAAATAGTTGAGTATATGTAATTGATAATATTAATAAAAATGATTTTCATATTCATAGCCTCATAGGTATTCAGTTGAAGAAGTTATAACTTATAATGGATAGTTTAAAATATCAACAATTATAAGTTTTTGAATATTAATAAATAATGGTAAAACACTGAACAAAATAAATGTTTCACATAAGCACTACCATATAATATATAATAATTTATGATAATTTATTACTATAAAATCAAATTTATTATTCATTAATCCTGACTTTGAATTTTAGTAACATTTTTACATCACACAAAGAACTAAAACTGTCATCGATATTTCATTGTTAATAATATTATTTGTAGTTATTTATTAATTATTTACTGTAAGTAATATTATTTATTGTTTAACAAACAAAGGCACGTATATAGCTATATTTTTTTAGTTTGATCATTTTAATCAAACTCAAGCCTAGTTGATAAAGAAAACAGCAATTATGACGTAGTTACATTAATTTAAAAACGAGGTGTGAAAATGCACCGAAGAAGCAAAAAAGGAGACTTTTTTTGGAAAGATCAGTTTTCCTCTTATTTTCATAGGAAACACTAATTACAGTTGCAGTATAAACGTTTAATCCTAACTTATCTGCAGTGAATGCATGTCGTTTTATTTATTCATAAGTTAATTATCGCACTTTTTTTTGATTACTGTTAAGGAATTTCTCAATCGTTAATTAAAAAAATATAGGTACGAGAATAAGATTATCTGAATATTATTTTTATTAACATAATATATCAGCGCAATGTAATTAACTCGAAAATAATTGCATATTGTGGAACAGGCGAATTGATTCATATATCTACCAACTACAGGCTTATTATTATTATTATCTTTATTATTCATGTAGAGATAATACATGTATCGAAAATATGAAATTTCCCGTTAAATTGTGTTTTCGTATCGACATTAAATAAATCTCAAGGGCGTTGAAGAAAATTTCATTTGATTTGTCAAAATATTTTGTAATGTTTTTTCCATGCCTATTTTGAAGAATCACAGAAATCAGTAATACACTAATCGTGTAGGTTAACCTACCTACAAGTATAGGTATATATTGATATACCTATTTACAAACGAATATCGCAAGACAGATCGCTACCATAGTGTGCAGAGAAAAGTTAATAAATATAAATAAGTAAACAAACATATTTCAAAGTTCATTTCAGTGTTTGGAACATGAACTTATTGACAAATAGTAACAGTGTGTATAAAATATCGATTTTTTTATAGCTTCGTTCGTACTTATAGGTACAGTGAACGAAAGATAACAGCAAAATGGTTGCCCGCTCCCGTACTTTATAGAGTGATTATTTTATTGAAAAACACTCAATATTTCAAAAACTATTTTCATTTTTGAAAACATTTGTGTTTTTTTACATTATCGAAGTCATAAAAAACCAAATTTTAAAAAAATCATATTTTTACTACTTCGTTTGTTATTCTTGATATTTTTAAGTTTTATTTTTTGAATGACGAATTATCAATTTTAATTTCATACTCCGAAGCAGAACATTTTTCAGAGTTGATATTTGTTGTATTTAAAAAATTGAATGAGTAATCATTAATATTATGTGTAGCTGTGGTTCACTTCTTTCATCAAAACTTTAAATACTTATAATAGTAATTAAATACTCGTTAAAAATGTGTTTGTCATGTATCAAAACACTCAAGAAAAAATATTCAACTCTGGTTAAGAATTTAAAAAATATGCTGTCGTTCAAAAAAGTACAAACTCAACAAAATAAAAATAATATATAATTATTTTTGTAATGAATTCAAACTGTGTAAAACAAAATATTTTCAAAAACTTGAATACTTTTCAAGGTAATGACTAATGAGTGTTTATTGTCCAAGTACTCACCTATTATTTATAATTCTATATTGTTATACCACTTATACCTAATACTTTGTGTAGAAAACAATAATGATATGTAAAAATACGGTCAAAGAAAAATACCAATTATACATATTAATACATTTCTTTGAAATTAACATTGAATAAACGGTAGGTACCATAACTTACTATTATAACTTATATATGTATGTAAATACTTGCCTGAAATACAGAAATGTGATTGAATCCGCAAAATAACAGAGCATTAATCCCAGCGAAGCTAAAGTGCCTCCGATTAGCGTTACTGTACGATATGAATATATGGATGACAAGTAGCTCGAAACAGGACCTAATTAAAAGAAGTTAAGCAAATTATAATCTTTTTGTTGGTGTATTTCAAAATGTTCAGACATAATATTTTTAATAAATAATTTAAATTTAGAATTAATAACCTCCTATATAAAATAAATGTTGTACGCGTGGGCAGTGGACACAACTCATTTAAATTCTTTAGCGATTTGTATGCATATTATTTAATTTATATTATGGAAACGCATTTAACATTTATTAATGCATTATTTATAGTCATTAAAATGTGTCTTAACTCGATAAATAATATTAAGCACATTGAATTGGCTTCCTTGAAAGTAAATTTTGATAATTTACACTCAGCACAGCACATTTTAATTAAAATATGTATTTTCCGTGTAACGAATTCGCAAGAGGGAATAATTTGATAAATATAATTTTAAGCAACTTCAGACCGATCCTTTCTAATGTTACTGAATATGACTGTTTCTGTGCAGTGACGTAAGTGTTTAATAGGGAAAAGCTTTTGTTAAAGTGGTGGTCGAAGAAGCAAAATCCACGTCATACCACTCATAGGTACCTACCTATGATTGTACATTATTCATGAAACTGACTTTTAAATTAATTGTAAAATGATCAAACAACATGGTTATTAACAATTTTAATTGAGTGTGAATGGTTGGTGAAATGTATACTTGAACATATTGCATATAATATATAGATAGTCCAAGAGCTTATACTCAAAATCCATTCCCTTAGGTGCTTTGTTACACCAACATCTATCGTCTGTAAAACGGAATAAAATATGGTTATTCTAGGTCAACATCGGAGATATATTATTATTTAATTATAAGCATGAGCCAAAGAGAGAAGTATAACTGATGGAACTGTATATAGAATATTGATCAAAGGCGGACTAAACTGAAGAAATTATTATAATTTATTACAATACTAGCAAAATATTTAATTATTAGTATATACATTATAAATAATTATATGATTTTAGATTATGTTAAACTTGTTAAAAAATCAAACCAATTGGCACATTATTTAAAATTTGAATACAAATAAAAATTTTAATTAATTATTTGTAGCTGAAAGAAATTGAATATAAAAAAATTTAAAAGCAATAGTTAAGAGAAATAAGTAAACTAGGTCAATATGAAAATTAAAAAAAAATCAATTTAAAAATGATTATGTGATTTAATATTTTTAAGATAACTGAAAATATAAATAAATTTAATTCGTTTATTAACCATAAAATTATATTTTTCCTATATAATATTATGTTTATAACTATATATTTTTAATAGTGAATAAGATATGAAATATATAAATATTTTTATAAGAATTTGGGTCATTAATCAGTTTGAAACTTGACCTAGCTTATGGTATTTATAATTTATCAACAAAATTGATTTCGTTCCCACTTATTATTAAATCCACATACTATGAGTAATGTGTATAATACATTTTAAAAGACATCATGAGACATCTTAGGAATTACTAATGTTTCTATCGTACACTCGTACTTATAATTATATTTATGTAGTGAAATATTATTGATACTAATTTTGTTAAAGTATTCGACATTTCGACACATCGAATAATCAAAGTACTTGGTATAAAGCCTATATTATAATCTTTAATCAAAAAATAAATTCATAAAACTGGCAAAATGCTATGTACCATATATTAATATAAATAATTTACCGACATTTTAATTTGGATTAAAAATCCAAAATGTAGAAATAAAAACTAGTTAGGTCAATAATCTTAAATGGTAGAGCTTGATTTCAACACTAACAATTAGTTTTTACAAGAAATATTTTTTTGTAACTAATTTAGAGTTTGTATCACTAAATAAAATGGTTATCATTGAAATAATATAATATCACGTATGTTATGGTAAAAATTCTTATTATTTAGTTTAATTGATAATATTTATAATTAAGGTAAAATAATAGAAATATTCACGTATACCTATTGTCAGTTAATGACTGAAATTAAACTGCGGATTCTAACGAATATAATATAAGATATATAAAATAAATAAATATTAATTTTAATTGTCAAATTAAAATTGTTAAATGTTGATGATAGAAAGTTTAAAGTTTAAGTATTCTGTGTTTGATTAATAATTTATTGATATCGCTAATAACGGATTATTATATATCTAAGATCTAACTAACAATAAAAGTATTATACTTTTTGATAAGTTATGTCAGAATAACGCATTGACCTTTTTATGTTTTGATCGCGTGGTAACTTTTTTAGTTTAAAAATAATGTATTAAGTAACTAGAAATGTATGTTTAAAAGAAATGTGGAAAATCTCATATTTAGGTTTTTATAATTTTCCCATCATTTTTCATATTGAAGATATTTAACTTAAATTAAATACTGAGCTTAATATAAAATAATATAAAATTAATGATTCATTTTAGTTTTTAGTTTTTTGCAGTATTTCATCATTAAATGTTTGTAGTTATTGATATCCCAACTGTGCCTTTGAGGTCGTTACCCGCTAATTTATTATATTTTTTAACATTTAAATTTTCACATAATTCAGTCAATTACAAATGATGAATAGAGTGGAATGATATTACGCAATTATTGTATCATTAGAAAAGTGGAACTGTTTAATTGAGATGGTTTATTTTCGATCAACTATACAATATGTATATTATTAATTGTACTGCAGTTTCAAATCGTTTGGTGCGTCATCTGCCTATTATCAACTCAACAAATGTGTTTGATCAATTAACACGTCCTCGTCTATACGACTCAGAAATATAATTTATAATATTAATAATATTTACCTAAAGAACAATAGAGAAAATAGCAAATAGCGGGTATCCAAGAGGCTGCGGTCTCTGATGCATGAAACGCTTCTGTGAACTCCACGAACAGCACCCCAAATGATTTAAGAGTGCCTGGAATCAACATGTTGACCAATGTGCTGCCCAAGAGCACCAACCAGCCCCATCCACCATCTGGAGGAACGAGTACATAGTTTCGACCATCTATATTACAAAAAAGTATAATAACAAAATATCAATTAATATCAATCGCGGTTACATTTTAAGATTTCACTACTGCCACAACGGCTAGAAACAAGGCATGTTAGGTAAGCATTAACAATTTATTTCTTGAGAAGACGTCACACCCGCATGTGTTACCTCCGTCTTACAAACACACAACATACCAAAAACTGTTTTGCGCGAAATAAAACCACTCAAGCTATAATCCAAACTAAGCAACCAAATTTTCACTCTATAGTCTATTAAAAAGAGAACATTTACGGTGCAACATAGTTTTTATTTTTTTGATATGACATCTACAAGAAAAATTCTTATTGTTTAAAAATGTATTATTTCAAACTTGAACAAATTTTTTTTATTTGTGATACCGAAAAAATAAAAACGATGTTGCACAGTAAATGTGTTCCTCTTAATAGTATGAAATATGGTCTAGCCTAGCTTGGACTACATCTCGAGAGATTCTATTTCATCCAAAACAGTTTTTGCTATGTAAGACGGAGACAACACATGCGAGTGTGGTGTCTTCTTAAACCTACCTGATAATCATAATTCAAAAGGACAATACTCCTAATTTTACTTTCTTAATTTTGAATTAAGTAAGTATGGTAACAAGGATGAATATAATCTCAATTTTGAAAACTTCAAGTTAATAGTAAATAGTAAAATAATTAAAGTGTAACTCAGTATAATGAGTTGGTGGACAATTAAGTTATGTAGCTATAAGATATTAATTAGATAAATATGATATCATGCTCGAACGGAATAATGGTTTGAGTCCAGAAAAACGTCGGCGTCATAAAAACTCTGTTTTTTTTAAACTTTTCTCTTAAACTATTAGATGGAAGTTAGCTGGCGGCTCATTAAAAAGCGCTTGTCAAGCAAATATGAGATATGACAATTAATTAACTTTTGAACAGTTAATAAAATAGTTGACTAGATTTTTCTAACTCAGATCTGGAATTGGAGAACGGATTTTGGTGGTTATAGTGTCTTGATGGAATAACATTCACTAGGAAAAGTATAGTGAAGAGTTTCAGACCGCCATCTTTAATGGTTCATTCACTATAGAGACCTTTAAAGTTGTAAATCATATAAACACACATATATGCAGATTAAGTACCAAAATCGAAAATTCGTTTAAAATTTTAAGATAGCTAAAAAGTACGAGGTGAGTTCTATAAGAATTAAGTACAACCAAAGTATTAAAAAGGGTCAAAGTTTAAAAAACGGATAGCTTACAATTTTTATACACGAAAAAAAAATACTTTTTGGTTAAACAAATTATCCATTTCGATCACGGCCTTTAATCCAATTGTATTAAAATGAATACACAATACTGTTAATAATTCTCCAAAAATTAAAAATCAAAGTGTACTTATACTTGCCAACCCCGACTTGGTAAGCGTTGAAGCGTTTTTTTTTTTTGCTAACCATTTAATAAATTACACGAAAATTCACCTTTGATGTTTACAAATGGGCAGCAAAATTCATGTCAATAGACTTTAGTAATTAGGTTCATAATTTATTGTTCAACGTTAGTCAGTAACCATTATACATTGTACATAATAATATAATGTTTATGAGTCTATATTATATACATTATACATGTGTAAATGTAATAAATTAGTAAATACATAAATTAAATACATACTTGTATCAACATTGTCTAACGAGTAATTGTTACGTATTTATAGAGATTATTCATTTATTCTTGACTGACACATGATGAGCGCTGCATAAATTTTAGTTCATATTTTTATGAATTTTTTTATAATTATCGAAAGTTAAAATACTGACACTCGACAGTAAGAAACAAATGGCAAATTTTTTAATACAAAACTTACTTACATGTACCTAAATATTACATGACATAATTTATTATACCTACGTAGATTCTATTGTAACAATATATTTACAAGAAGAAAATAGATTGGTTTTAACTTTTAAGTACTTGTTAATTACTGAAGATCGAACAATGTACACTGCATGTTTAATAGTATAATAACTTATTACATTCACTATGGATAATATCTATTTAATTCTAAAACCAAAAATATTTTAAATTATTTGTGTTTTGTGTATTTTTTAGTAATTTGAATATTACTATCGATTGTTATTTATTTATGATTTTTAATAATTTAATTTACCCATAATAAGAATTGATTCATTCTTAACTCTAAGCGGGAGAATCCTGTTTAATGAAACTTCAAGTGTTTATACTGTTAAATAAATAATGGTTGGTACATAAATAACTGAAAATATGTATAAATTAATTTATAATTATTTATAACATTTTATACATTACGTCAAACATCAATTGTTATGCATATTTTTAAAATTGTTCATATCTATGTATACATCGAATCTCAGTTTTAATTAATAGAAAATATGTACTTAAATTAAGACAATTTTAATTTATTTAAAAATTGTCTTCGTACAATTGTATACAAATATTTTAAATTAAATTCGTTTAACATAATACACAATATAATGTACATTATTTGTATTTAATGTTAATTATATTTTCTAACGTTTATTTATGAAATGCATGTACATATAAGTTTAGGAGAAATGTAAAATGTTATATGCTGATGTAATCAATGAAACTTTTGATACGCAGACGTCAGTTTAAAAATGTACGTATAGATCTGTCAAATAGTAATTAGTAATTACTAACTACCCATTATTTTTCACCGTAGTAAGTTATTCAAATTGAAAGCAAAGCCGGTTATGATATTTAATGTAGTTTATGTAATAATTATTGTTGGACCTTTGAATGAATAAAAGTTCTTTATTTTAGCACATGTATGGTTCTCTTGTCAGAATCAACTTTGCATGCTTAAGGCGGAATTGACCGTTGTTTTCAAAAGTTAACACGACAAAGTGAGAATAACCTTCATTAGGGTTATGTGTCTCAACGAGTATTTTTAAACTTAATGAATGACAGGACCGAAGGTCAGTCCGTAACAGTATATAGTAACCATGTAGTATTAGTAATTAGTACACTGACATTGGCAATGGCCGAGCAAGTTGTCTCCCCCCCCCACATACGCACACATGCATACATATACCTGCCGATCCCACAGCTGATAAACAACAAGCGTCCAATACAACGTTTCGACAGCGACCGCGATCGATCGGAAAATTATATAAATATTATTTAACGAAGCCAAATGTGTGCGAAAACTTTATTGGGCCATTTAAAAAAAAAAATCAACGTGTTATTGACCCTTAACCATTGTGGTGAAACGCGGCCAATAATAGGGACATATACATACACACTCGTGTGGGTACATTATTCATACACTTAAATAAGAATGCTTTGGACATGCCATTATTTACGTGAGATATAAAATATGTGTTTGGAAGATACGAAACGAATGTAATGAAATTCGTACCAACCATGCTTACCGCAGCGTAATGTCAATACATCATACACTTGTCTAAATAGCATGCTAAAGAGACGAAAAAAAACATTATTATATACTATTTTAGATACCTGAAATAAAATAATAAACCTTTTGATTTTTTTTTTTTGCGGCAGTTCACGCAAGTTCGAATCGCTGTAGGTATAACGCGGTCTTATTCATATTTAGTATTTAGTATATTATGTGGATAATTTTTAGTCAAGTTACACAATTATAGTAGAATTTATTGTTCAAATCACCTGTAACAGCTTCTTCTTCTCCGGCCAGTGCTTCGTGGTCGTCTTCTTTGGGTTTCTTTTTTATGCTCATTATTGCTTAGTATTCGCGTGACGAAACACTGAAACATATAAACATATTAAATATTTTATCAACTGCAGTAAATGGTGTATATAATTATATATTATTTTTAGACTTTTAGTAAGGACACATTTAGTGATATAATAAAATAATATCGTTCGATATAATTATATGGCCATAATAATTTACCAATGCCTACAAATTCCAAAACGATATGTATCGTATAGCAAATGTGTAGCAGTGATGTACACGAACGAGTGTTAAGCATTTATCAATGGAATTCACTTACGCAAAAATTGTCATTAAACCGAAATATCGTAGTTGTTGACTTTGGTATGCATTGAGATTGTTTTAAGTTTTATTTAAAATAAGACCACTGGCTGCGTATAGTTAGAAATTTTTTATCGACCGAATGACGTTTTGTTTCTGCCAGTGACACTAGTGACAGTGATGAATGATTGTCAGATAGGTTAAACGAACAATGTGCACACCACACACATATTATGACACAATCTATTCTGGTTGAAATGTACAAAACTGATTTAAGTAAAAAACAAAAAATGTATGTTTTGTAATTTAATTTTCGATATAGATTTCAGACGAATGACACGTTTACTGGTTGTGTTGCACAGGCCAGTTAATAATAGCCTATATTGGCTATATCATATATTTTTACTCGATAAATAGGTAGGTGCATATAAATATTTTTAATTACCTTGATAAATTATCGTTTGACACATATTTGGCGTTACACCAAAAATTTTTAAGAGGAGAAATATTTGTAATAACTTAATAATATATGGGTCAATATGATCAGGTTTTATCTAAAGACTTTCTTAAAAATATTAATCAAATGGCTATAAGATCGATTCTCGTTGGATGTTAGCAAGCAAAATTAAAATTAGATGGTTTTATAGTATACAAATAATTAAAAACAAAAAAAAAACAACTTTCATCTCAGGTCTAACACTATTTCAAAATGTTGAATATATAACACAATGAAAACATATTTTTTGATTCTAATTATCCCATCAATCATTATTTACAATTTATAAGTGTATGTTCATAATGACACAATATTAATATGATTAATAATTAATACATATTTTTACAAAAGCAACTAACTATAAAATCAAATAACATTTGAAGAATCGATTTTTTTAAAAGCTATTCTTGGATAATATTCAAATATATTGTACATAATATATACAAAAATAATATATTATATTGTTATTTATTTATTCGTATAGAAAACCCTTACAACATTTTTTTCCATAGTACCTTATTAAATTTTTATTTTCAACTAGTGTCACTGTGTCAGATATTCAGATTAGTATCTTACGTCAAAGTCAGTATGTATGAGAAAATATATTTTGTGCTTGCTTCAGAATCAAAAAATAAACTCAATAAGACCTTATTGTCACGCAATATTTTTTTTTGGCGATCTTATACAAAGATTTATAGTAGGATTGAAATACATTGTTTTTTTTTATTTAATAATAAAGTTCTCGTTTGAAAGACGTTGATCAAATCTCAAAGAGGTTAAAACGTGTGCAAATAAGCGACACTAAAGTAAATCAAACAAACTAAATAAATCATTAAATTGTTGTCATAAAGTTTTTTTAAAGACTCGTCAGACACCCGAAGGTGCGGTGAGGTATATTATACAAAGTTGTTTATTACATCAAAATGTAATAATTGTCAAAGTGGTTTGATATTGTATTACTCGCTTGGCGTCGATGTTCGAGATAATCGAGGTTCCATAAAAGCAAATTATATATTTACATTACCTATACAATGTTATGTACATATACCTACCCAACTGAGTGAAAAACGATACAATTATGGCACACCCCGATTACAGAACATCACAATAATGGTCGATCGTACGGATAAAACAAGCTGATTCAAATATTATATGCACTTGTGATCAGCGACTTGTGAGTTGTTTATGTTACGCAGGCTGTATGGAGCTGCAGGGAAAAATGTTTATAATCAATAAATATAACGAGTACCTATGATGGTGTATACCTACAACCTGCAATGATGGCCTCGTGGTAGACAGATGTGTAAGTGCATTGTCGTCCTTCGTTATTTATGCCCACCATACTACTACTTACGGCGATTGCGGAAAAACGCATTAGAGAAATGGCTGATTTGTGTCCGAGATAAAATCGTAATGGATATTTTTAAGCACGCATCACACGAACGCGCAAAGGACGGAGGAAAAAAATTTCCATCGAGAGAATTTTGAGCTGTTTGAACCGTACGACTTTGGTATAGGTACATAATATTATATTATATTGTTATTCGTTTTGTTTTGTATATGACGGTAAATTGTACTATATCGTGTAACTTATAATGTAAACAGCGCAATACACTTACGGTGTAATATTGAGTTTCACAGTCATACGGAACGCGTTTAATGATGTATGCCATATAAATATGTGTAGAAAAATATTGTTTGTACGTAGTTCGTAATAAAGAATTCGATAGTGCGCGCTTAACAATGAAAGAAATTATTTTTAATTTTCATACGAAATTTTTTTATTGTTGCGTAAGTCGTATAACATCTAACGTTCGGAAGTAGCTCATATTATTACATAGTATTATGCATTTTATCAATTCACGAGTAATCAGTGTTCATCGGTGAGCGGTTAAACATGTCAATGAATATTATTTACAAATAGGTCATTGGAATATTTTCAATTCAAACAAAATGATATAAGTACCTACAAACGCGAACATCTCGTAAACGTAAACTACCTACATGTTATCGTCATAATGCGTTATGTTCTACGATAAATAATAATATTACATGTCATACAATATATTATTATTGTGACAAAACGCATTGGCGTCAGAAAAGTTCGCTTGTAAAAAGAACCGATGGCCGGGTATAAAGTTGGTATCTATATCGGGGGCTCGATAAAATTTTGCAAGCATATAATCTAACTTAACATAATATCGGGGAAGCTTTACAAGACCCAGTAATCGTCATTGCATCAGTGCGTGTGAGTTGAATCCTAACCCGGGAAATTTAAATAGTAATATATCGTGTACTAGTCCGCGAGTAAGACAGATTTTACAATATTGCATGCTAAATACACACTTTGCCACTACGGTGCCTATTTAACCAATACGTACAAGATGCTCGTGTATTGTGTACGCAGTGGAAGGCTGCACATGTATATATAATTATTGTTATTGTTTTTACATAATAAGTACCCCCGACGAGTAATTTTAACGAACGACTTGCTAGCACCTAAACGTCGAGAATGATAAACGTGCGAATAATTAATATATCGCTACAAAATCGAAAATCCACAGCGCTGACGGTTTCACTGCAGATATAAAATTGTAATAATATGTAAGTATTGAAAACCACATAATATTTTAGCAGTCTTATTTGAGTCTATTAGGCTCAGTTTTAGGTTAAGCTGTTAATATTAAAACAACCCGTTACACACCTATATATACACGATATACTATATTATGTGAAGTCTATATTATTTAGTACTCTACGTGCTTACATGGTATATTGGTATATACCATACACAAACATTATGTTTATACTAATGTCGTGCTTATTATCCCTTTGAAAACGGACACGAACCGTGTTAAAGTTCACAATAACATTTCGAATGCTATTGCAGTAAAGTCATTGCCGTTAGACGCGAGTTTGTGTTATATTAAACTCGCATAAATGATGCGGGGTGTAGTTAAATAATACAACAGTTTAACACGGCATGGTGGCTGCTTATTGTATACACAATTCCGATCGAAATGAAATCATCCGAAAATCTCAAACGCCGGAAAATAGTCTAAATCGGCCGAAAACGATATCCTTGCGAGTATATACTGCAGCCCGCGGCGGTGCGTCCCTCGCAGCAATAATATAATATTATGGTTTGTAAATATTGTGTGCGAATAATGATTATATGATTTACATAGTATAGTGGTATAGATTTTGGAACGGGAATAAAGAAATACCTTGTGCTGGTCGGTATTTATTTATCGTTTTATTTTTAGACTGTATCTTACGCAACAAGAAACAGGTCTTTTTACTTGTTTTTTTGGTACTGTGAGCACCTCTGAGAGACTAATCGCTGCGAAGACATGGTATTTACGAACTGCAGCACTACATCTGTGATCCTATCGGTTAAAGGAATCCGTCATTCCCTCTCGGAGTAAAGACACTATCGGAATAGTGTCGGTTACGGCGATCACACCTAATCATGAAGTACAGAGGCACCTATAAATCGATTTTCTGCGATTCAAAGCACATTAAAATTGCAAATTCGAGGTGTAAAATGCTTTTTCAAAAGGGATAGTAGTGTATTCGTAAGCTCAGATCGTCGGTTTGCAAAATATTTACTACACACGTCTATAATGACGTAAAAGTTAGAGAACAAAACTTATTATAATTAGGTAGGTATGTTAAGACCTGGATGATTCCCTACAAATATGATAAGTGCTGGATTACGCTATTACCTTTCTCCCGACGTTTAGTCGATTCTCGAGGTCATGTATTCGAGAATTTAATCAAATTTGCCGTACAGTGTATACTGCTGTATATTTGTTTGTAAAAAATATATATAATGTAATATAAGAAAATACACTGACTGCTCGTAAAGAAGTCCAACCGTCGCTCGTAGGATTCAGTATTCAGAAAACGGGTTGTTGCTAAGGTGACTGGTACGCGTGCACTGTCGGCACAGTTATGCCGAACAGAGAGGGACAGGCGCCTTTATCAAAGGTTTATGCGATTCCGAGAACTATTTTACTATTCGGCGGCTGCAGAGACCTTTTTCGGCCATCCCTTTTCTGAGGTGGCATATTATAAGAAAGCCATATAATACTCAGATATTATAATAATAACAAATACGTAAGTGTCGAACTTTTATTACGTGACCGTACCCGTATAATACGGATCATCCCTTTTGTCAGTGCAATCAAGATTATCCGAGTGAGACAATCTGGCTGTTATTTATTAATTTATTTTATATTTAACAGTTTGTTGGTTACAATAATGTGTATGCATTTAAAGTTTGAAAGTTTAGAAAATTGTGAATTAAATATCTGACGTAATTTGTTTTATACATTAAAAACAAGTATCTTTCTGCAGACTATATCTACATTGAAAATAAGTTGGTACCTAAGTTGCAAAACATTTAAGACTGTACCTACCCATAAGAAACTTAAAAAAAAAAATGCTACACTTAATTTTATCGAACGTCCTCAATAAATTACATGTACCACGAACCATGTGATACATTTCGACCATTGCATGGTCGGGTTTAGAGTTTTGGAATCCCAGGACTATTTTTTATGCCACCCCATATTTTCCAACATGAATCTTAATTTGATTAAGAAGTAATATTTTTGCATTATTTCATATCTGTTGAGGAACAACTTTACATAGCGCCCAAACATAAACCTAACCTATTTATAGACACACAACTGTTTATCAGGGCCCTTATCGCAGAGCCGGACTTTTTCAACTTACTGATACGAATCCGATACTGCAGACTGCAGCGTATCGAATTTTTCTTCTTGAAAATCTCGAGCACTCGTCCTAACGACCGGCGCTGCGGCAGGTACTTTCATATTATTATTATCATAAAATATAACACACTCACGTCGAATGTGTTGGTCGAGCCGGCGAATCGGCGAGCGTGGCCGGATCTCCGTCTTCCGTCGTGGTCGTCGTTCAGCGACTCGTCACCGCCACGGCCATGTCCGTCGATGTCGAAGTCGTCCGGTCGGAGTCGTCCCGTCGGCGGAGATGCGTCGACGGCGGGACGTCGAATGATGACGCGATAACGCGGTCCGCCGCGACCGCGGTGGTTGTGGTAGTGGCGGTGGTCGTGGTAGTGGTCGTGATCGTGGTGATGGTCGTCGTCGTCGTCGTCGCCGTCGCCGGATGCCGGTGCCAGTGCGATCGCCGTGGTCGTCGTGGTCGTCGTGCCGCCGGTAACCCGCGACCGGGATCGCATCGCACGCGCCGCCCGCGTTACTCAAACAACACGCGGCCGCACACTGCAACTTTGGACGCGCGCGGACACGGGACCGCGCGACCTGTCTCACGGCGCACCGCTGTGGACGTGGACTCGGGACGTTGTGGGGCCGCCGCCACCGCTGTGCTTCCTGCCGGTGTGCGCTGGCGCCCGGCGGTGCGCGTGCGAGTGTCCGCGTGCTATACGACGACTGAGCGCGCCCTCCTCTTCGGGGCCGCGGCGGGGAGGGCGCCGGCCGCCGATCGATATTAGATGCTATACGCACCGCCCCGTGCGTGTGTGTGGGGCACCACGATGAATAAAATACAGTCGTGTGTCCGTGTACAAACCGATATTGTGTATTTGTGTTTCACGTAGATATACCTATATCCATTAAATCGAGGCTGCTTGTTTTAATGATATAATATTATAAAAAACGTATTGAGTAATGATGACAATATATTTTATGTGGACAACTGATGTCTACTCACTCACTATATTGCTTACGTGCGGGCCCCTCGAACCGGTCCACAGGCGATCGGTTCGGTGGGCGAAAAATCGATCTGAAATTCTGAACAGCAACCTCTCAGCCGCATAAAGATACTATTACGTTAAAATATGAACCATACCGAGGTTTTTTTACCTTTAAAAATATGACATATATTTATATATATATATATTCGGTGAGATTAAAAACGATTATAAATCACCCGACACGATATCGAATTGTTCAGTGTTTTTGTAAATATGTTTTTTCGTTAATTTGTAGTCGTTTAAAAACGTTTTTGAATATAATTATATTTGTCATTGTTATCATATTTTAAGTTTTAAGTTTTTTGAACAGCATGCATTTTCAATTTCATACCCTGAAGCAGAATAATTTTAGGGAGAATTTTAATATGGGAAAAGTTATATAACTTTATAAGTATTGAAAGCTTAGTTGAAATGACTTGAGTGGTACAGGAGTACCTATACTTTGTCGGAAAGTTGTTACACTATATACAGCTCATCTAAAATTTAATATTTATAAGTAATTATCTAAGTACTTGCTCGTAATCCGATTCTTATGTATGTACCTATATTTAAATATTCTGCTTTAAGATATGAAATTAAAAATGTATGTTCTCGGTTTGTCGTTGAAAAAGGAAAATAAGTTGTATTAAATAAATTACAACTGCAAAAAATATTTTAAAAGTTGAACACAAACTCGAAACTTTCAGTGTCATGGACACCATGGACCTGATCATTTTAAAAATTATCAGTCGCAGTCATTTGGACTGCGAAAAGTGTACGCAATTGAGTATTTATAAGATCCAATATTGTGATTTTGCCAACTGCTTCTTAAATTTGTTTCCCAGAAAAATGGATAAATTCCAGACAAAGTTTGTAGCTTGCTTTAAAATAATATTCAATATTATACGTATTCAATTAAATATTGATATCAGGCCACTGTTATCAGGTCTATCGGTCTATGCCAAGATGTATTGAATAAAGTACATCTTGGTACGAGCGTCTAGGGACGCTTTAGTAGTACAGCACACGAGCAAATTTCTCATCAGTTATTATATCATTGTTATCGTTTTTATGTCAAGGCGTTTTTGGAAATTTGAAATAAATATTTTTTTGAATTTTTAAATCATTTAAATATGGAGTTTGAGGAGTACATGCATTGCAGCAATAAGCAATTTAGTATAAACAGTTAAATTTAATTAGGCACATAAATATTCATATGGAAGGACGCACCATTAAATCAAGACCATTATAAGTGACGAAGTAATAGATAATTATGAAATTATGAATATGAATTTTGATTCAATTCAGAGTAAGAGTGCTTCTTTAATTCTTCTATACATCGCCCTCCGCCCTGCCACGGTATGAACACTCAAGTGCGCTTCTGCCACTCACCTTAATTAGACCTTAATTATGTGTTCGATAATATAATAATAATTGCAGCCTGTAGGTCTTGTATAATGTAATAAACTGATTAGTAAGAACATATATTATCTGAAAATCATTATTCAAAACGATTTTCCATTGTTCCACATCTCCATGCTTGTATTTATAAAAATCTAAAGCTATCTTAGCTATCCACAATATGATTTTCGTATTTTTCGAACGCTTTAATTTAAAAAAATGTTGTTTAATAATGATTTTAGATTACCAAATGTTTCCAAAAAACGATAACGTTTTTAATGAAATCGGGGGCTTACTACTTTAAAATAAAGAATCACTCGTGTATAATATTTTAATGTACTATTATTATTTATATTTACACACATATACCTATATACCATATACCACCACATACGTACGTCGTATACATTTGTGTATTTAATATTTATAACGACCAACGAGTGAGCACTATAAATTATGTTTACCGACTAATATGCGTGTATTGATTAGGTGTACCTACCTACCTTCCGACAGTATGCCATCTGCTTTTGCTATATTTTGTTTGCGTTAAAAAAGCGGAGGCCGTTATTAGACGGTAGGTACTGTGATTTTTTTCCCGGACTAATCTACTCAGATCGAATGCAATATTATCGATGTTATACCTACACGGTATGCGCGGTATGTACCATTATACTGAATATAGTTCGATCGATTCCGGTTTTAGCGTAATAAGTGATTCGACTGTCCTCGGACAGCGTTCAAAAACTGTATTATACCGCAGCTGGTGATTTATTATTATTATTATTATTCATCGTTATAAATCTGCATTCGTTTCGATTCGCCGACGCGTCTGATTCTCGAAAACGCCCCGTTTGGAGTTCCTCCGACTTGCCATTATATTGTGCGATCTGGGTCATATCGGATTTTGCCGACGGTTTTGTGCGACGCTGCCTCTGCTGCTGCAGTGCTCCGCACAAAAGTGTTATTTCGAAACAATGGCGTCCGCTTGTTTTGAGTTTTTCGTCTTAAACACTTTATATTAATATCGTCTTACCGATTGCGTCAACGTCTCAGACGACGGAACGAAGGAATTGAAACGATCGTTATTTCAATAGCGCAAACGAAACACGTTTTGCGTACACCGCCCGTACAAGGCAAATGGCACGATACAGATAATAATATTATTGTTAATATTGTCGTTGTGACAATAAGATTACGAATGTCCGCGTACAATGTAACAATTAATATAATTAATATAAATTATATAATTATAACGGGTTATAACAAATATCATTGTGTTCGTAAACGGTGCGGGTCGCGGGTTAAACGAAGTATATTGCGCGAGTCACACACGTACTTACTCGTCATCGCGATAAATTAATGCGTAGCGTAATAATTTTAATAACGCCAATCGTTTGGTTAATAACGTAACGAGCGCAATTCGTGTTTGCGTGTGCTAATGTCGTATTATTATTAATATTATTTACCGGCTACAACAACAACCGCCGAAATGATAAACCATATTATATTGTCATACGCGCATGCTACAATAATATATCATGTAATTATTATGCACACACACGCGAGTCCAAGTCACACACGCGCGAGTACACGACCCACCCACTCGACAACGCGACCCACGTGATATTATGTGATGAAGACTATATGGACGGTCTCTGTGCAAAAGGGCACAAGTCAAAAAACACTACTTTTCAGGAGACACAAAAAACATTATTTTATAATTTAATTGGATGATCTAATACGTTTAATGTTTGAAATAGTTTATTTAGACCATTAATAAATTAATGATCATACACTTCATGACTAAATAATGGAATAATCGTATTTTTGTTGACTTGTGCCCAACTACAATATAATAATAATGAATTTCACTGACTTGTGCCCTATTGCACAATAAGAAAATGATTATTAATATTATAAATCCTTTTTTCCCAAAATAATAAAATCAATTACGATATTTTAATACCTTTTATACTTATCAAGTTGAATATAAATTTACAAAAATTGTATCGAAAACAATTGGGTAGGTANATATATATATATATATATATATATATATATACCTGCGTAGAGTTATGACCTGAATTCGTGCAGACTCCTCAACGCGTCAACGTCTCGTACACCGACACATGTCTTTAACGGACACCTCTATCGAACGGACAGTGTGTGATATGATTATGTCCCGGCAAAAAAATACATAGATATTCCAATATAATAATATATGTGCCTCTGTCCATAACGGACACTCTCGATGGTTCCGAGAACTGTCCGTTGCATATATAAGTTTCACTGTACCTACCTCAACGCATGTACGACAATATTTAATATTATTGTGTTTCGCGTTTGAACGTCGTCAAATGTGCCGACGGCCATCACGACCTCACGCTTTCGAAAAAACGTCAAGTCCGAACACTTCTCTATACAGCCAATACAGGTACCGTGAGGTTTTCCCAAAATCTGCACTCGGTTTCATACCGCACACGCCGAAAGGTACATCGAGTATCATTAACGTATCTCAGCGTTTATCATAAATACGACGAGGCATCGTAGAGTATAATATTGGATAACCGCGCACGTAAAGTATAGACAAGGATAAAGAAATATAGCACTTAATTTAAATGTGTATAAAACATCGCCGATTCATAAACGATGAAATAACATTATAATTGAACATGACCAATATAAATTACCAATATGTATACCGATCTAAACATCATGTCTATTCTTTATTTTATCCTATATCTGTTTACTTGTTATCAATTTATAATAAGAAGACGTAACACTGGCATTTGTTGTACTACTCTTACAAGTGCGCAACAAAGCAAAATGTACGCTCAGCAGATCACGTGTACCTTCGCTAGTTTAAAAATTAGAGTGAATCGACTTATTATGAAACTTGATGGAAATAACATAATATTATATTATCCTCGATATAATCTGTGTTTGTGAGTTTTTTACGATAGTTCAATTTCTAGCAAGTTTTGGGTATACATATGGAGTAAATTAAAAAGGCTCATGACTCACTTAAAAACTGAACTCTCGCAAAAAACTCACAACAAGAGATTGGTTCACTCTGATTTTTAAACTAAATATAAGCTATACATACGTGATCTGTTGAGCGTACATTTACTATGTTAAGCACTTATAAGACATCAAATTTCAGTATCAGTGTTATGTCCTCGTAACACAATATTATTGATCACAAAGATTTATTTTACAAGCCTAAGAATTTTT